TCTTTCCCGGGCACAGGCGATGGCCATGAGCCCCTCGCTCCCTGGCCGCGCACCTTCAAGCCTTCTGCTCTTCGGCTACCTTCACCCCCCACAGCCCCCACACACACAGACAACCCTGGTCATCACCAGGGACCCGGTGCTGCGCGTCTCCTCATGCATCCTCTCCGTCCTCCTCCTCGCTGTCTCCGTCATCGACAAGAAGTCTGCTTGGTACGAGTCCCTCATCACCATCGTCATCATCGTCATCATCGTCATCGTCACCACCACCACCACCAGCATCAGCATCAGCATCACGTACATCATCAACATGCTGCTCTTGTGCCTCCGGACACGCCGTTCAGCCCTCTGCGAGCAAAGCTCTAGCTGTCTGCAGGCCGCCCTCCCCACCCCTCCCCAATCTTGCTCAACCCATCTCCCCCGTCCCGGCCGCCCGACACGCGAAAGCGCCTGCTCAGGGCATCGGGCCGTACGTGCGCGAGCCCGCCCCCCGATCGTCTTCCGCCTCCCTTCCCGTCTGCCTCCACCCTTCTCCTCACGCTCTCGCAGGCCCGCGTCGCCATCTCCGGCATGCCGGCAGCCCACTTTACCATCGCCTCACCTCGGTCGCTGCCGCTTCCCTCGCAGTACGAGGTCGGCGTACCTTCTGCGCGCATACCTGCTCGAAGACCTCAGTACAAGGGCGACCGCACCGGCGGCCTGTCGCAGGCGACCATCGAGTGCTACACGGACATCGCGGAGTGCGTTGCCGCCCCGTGGGTGCATCCGGCCGCCGCCGCCTCCACTCCCCTCTTCCGGCCACCACCCTCTCCCGCAGCACGTCCGGTTTGTCTCCGGCAGCAGTCCGCTCCATTTGGCTCCATTCGGCCCCGCTGTGCCGCCGTGCCGCCGCCCCGCCGCCTCCTCCCGCGCCGCCTCTTTCGTCTCCACCGCCGCCGCCCTCGCCGCCGCCACACTCGCCGCCCCCTCCCCACCGGCGCCCTCAGCCCTCGCAGCCGCCGCCCTCATACCCGCCGCCGCTGCCGCCGCCGTCGCCGCCACCCTCGCCGCCGCCGCCCTCCCCGCCGCCACCCTCGCCTCCGCCGCCGTCCGGCATGCCACCGCTCTCGCCCTCGCCTCCATCAGCGCCGCCCCCGTCGCCGCCGCCCTCGCCGCCGCCTCCCACAATTCCACCGCCGCCGCCGCCACCCTCGCCGCCACCCTGGCCGCCGCCCTCGCCGCCGCCACCGCCGCCGCCGCCGCCCTCGCCGCCGCCCGCGTCTCCACCCTCGCCGGCGCCACCCTCGCCGCCGCCCTCGCCGCCGCCCTCGCCGCCGCCACCATCGTAGCCCCCGACGCCGCCCCCGCCCTAGCGGCGAGGTGCAGGTCGTCTCGGCGGACGGCGTGAGCCTCGCGTACCCCGGCACGTACTGCCTCCACGGGTGCGACCCGCACGACAGCAGGCTCGAGCCGTCCTGCAACTCGACTGGCTACCCCGTCCGGTGCGAGCACGAGTGGTGCTACGTCGACCCGGCCGCGTGCAACACCGGGTACAGCACGGCCGCGTACGTGGTGGGCGCCACCCCGCACTACTTGTGCCGTGCGTGCGGCTTCAGCAACGAGTTCGAGAGCTGGTTCTACCAGCCGCCGATGCCGCCGCCGCCGCCGCCGCCGCCGCCCTCGCCGCCGCCCTCGCCTCCGCCGCCCTCGCGTCGCCGTCGCCGCCGCCCTCGCCGCCGCTCGTCTGCCCGTGCCTCACCGCCTACCCGGCCGGCGTCAGCCTCGTGAGCGCCGAGGTGCATGTCGTCGCGGCGGACGGCGTGAGCCTCGCGTACCCCGGCACGTACTGCCTCCACGAGTGCGACCCGCACGACAGCAGGCTCGAGCCGTCCTGCGACTCGACCTGCTACCCCGGCTGGTGCGAGCACGAGTGGTGCTACGTCGACCCGGCCGCGTGCAACACCGAGTACAGCACGACCGCGTACGTGGTGGGCGCCACCCCGCACTACTTGTGCCGTGCGTGCGGCTTCAGCAACGAGTTCGAGAGCTGGTTCTACCAGCCGCCGATGCCGCCGCCGCCGCCGCCGCCGCCGCCCTCGCCGCCGCCCTCGCCTCCGCCGCCGTCGCGTCGCCGTCGCCGCCGCCCTCGCCTCCGCCGCCCTCGCGTCGCCGTCGCCGCCGCCCTCGCCGCCGCTCGTCTGCCCGTGCCTCACCGCCTACCCGGCCGGCGTCAGCCTCGTGAGCGCCGAGGTGCATGTCGTCGCGGCGGACGGCGTGAGCCTCGCGTACCCCGGCACGTACTGCCTCCACTGGTGCGACCCGCACGACAGCAGGCTCGAGCCGTCCTGCGACTCGACCTGCTACCCCGGCTGGTGCGAGCACGAGTGGTGCTACGTCGACCCGGCCGCGTGCAACACCGAGTACAGCACGACCGCGTACGTGGTGGGCGCCACCCCGCACTACTTGTGCCGTGCGTGCGGCTTCAGCAACGAGTTCGAGAGCTGGTTCTACCAGCCGCCGATGCCGCCGCCGCCGCCGCCGCCGCCGCCCTCGCCGCCGCCCTCGCCTCCGCCGCCCTCGCGTCGCCGTCGCCGCCGCCCTCGCCTCCGCCGCCCTCGCGTCGCCGTCGCCGCCCTCGCCGCCGCTCGTCTGCCCGTGCCTCACCGCCTACCCGGCCGGCGTCAGCCTCGTGAGCGCCGAGGTGCATGTCGTCGCGGCAGACGGCGTGAGCCTCGCGTACCCCGGCACGTACTGCCTCCACGAGTGCGACCCGCACGACAGCAGGCTCGAGCCGTCCTGCGACTCGACCTGCTACCCCGGCTGGTGCGAGCACGAGTGGTGCTACGTCGACCCGGCCGCGTGCATCACCGAGTACAGCACGGCCGCGTACGTGGTGGGCGCCACAGCACTACTTGTGCCGTGCGTGCGGCTTCAGCAACGAGTTCGAGAGCTGGTTCTACCAGCCGCCGATGCCGCCGCCGCCGCCGCCGCCGCCGCCCTCGCCGCCGCCCTCGCCTCCGCCGCCCTCGCGTCGCCGTCGCCGCCGCCCTCGCCGCCGCTCGTCTGCCCGTGCCTCACCGCCTACCCGGCCGGCGTCAGCCTCGTGAGCGCCGAGGTGCATGTCGTCGCGGCGGACGGCGTGAGCCTCGCGTACCCCGGCACGTACTGCCTCCACGAGTGCGACCCGCACGACAGCAGGCTCGAGCCGTCCTGCGACTCGACCTGCTACCTCGGCTGGTGCGAGCACGAGTGGTGCTACGTCGACCCGGCCGCGTGCAACACCGAGTACAGCACGACCGCGTACGTGGTGGGCGCCACCCCGCACTACTTGTGCCGTGCGTGCGGCTTCAGCAACGAGTTCGAGAGCTGGTTCTACCAGCCGCCGATGCCGCCGCCTCCGCCGCCGCCGCCGCGCTCGCCTCCGCCGCCGCCGCCGACGCCGCCCTCGCCGCCGCGCTCGCCTCCGCTCGACTGCCCGTGCCTCACCGCCTACCCGGCCGGCGTCAGCCTCGTGAGCGCCGAGGTGCAGGTCGTCGCGGCGGACGGCGTGAGCGTCGCGTACCCCGGCACGTACGGCCTCCACGGGTGCGACCCGCACGACAGCGGGCTCGAGCCGTCCTGCAACTCGCCCGGCTACCCCGTCCGGTGCGAGCACGAGTGGTGCTACGTCGACCCGGCCGCGTGCAACGCCGAGTACAGCACGACCGCGTACGTGGTGGGCGCCACCCTGCACTACTTGAGCCGTGCGTGCGGCTTCCGCAACGAGTTCGAGAGCTGGTTCTACCAGCCGCCGCCGCCGCCGCCGCCGCCGCCGTCGCCGCCGCCCTCGCCGCCGCTCGTCTGCCCGTGCCTCACCGCCTACCCGGCCGGCGTCAGCCTCGTGAGCGCCGAGGTGCAGGTCGTCGCGGCGGACGGCGTGAGCCTCGCGTACCCCGGCACGTACTGCCTCCACGGGTGCGACCCGCACGACAGCAGGCTCGAGCCGTCCTGCGACTCGACCTGCTACCCCGGCTGGTGCGAGCACGAGTGGTGCTACGTCGACCCGGCCGCGTGCAACACCGAGTACAGCACGACCGCGTACGTGGTGGGCGCCACCCCGCACTACTTGTGCCGTGCGTGCGGCTTCAGCAACGAGTTCGAGAGCTGGTTCTACCAGCCGCCGATGCCGCCGCCACCGGCGCCGCCGCCGCCACCGCCGCCGCCCTCGCCTCCGCCGCCCTCGCGTCGCCGTCGCCGCCGCCCTCGCCTCCGCCGCCCTCGCGTCGCCGTCGCCGCCGCCCTCGCCGCCGCTCGTCTGCCCGTGCCTCACCGCCTACCCGGCCGGCGTCAGCCTCGTGAGCGCCGAGGTGCAGGTCGTCGCGGCGGACGGCGTGAGCCTCGCGTACCCCGGCACGTACTGCCTCCACGAGTGCGACCCGCACGACAGCAGGCTCGAGCCGTCCTGCGACTCGACCTGCTACCCCGGCTGGTGCGAGCACGAGTGGTGCTACGTCGACCCGGCCGCGTGCATCACCGAGTACAGCACGGCCGCGTACGTGGTGGGCGCCACAGCACTACTTGTGCCGTGCGTGCGGCTTCAGCAACGAGTTCGAGAGCTGGTTCTACCAGCCGCCGATGCCGCCGCCGCCGCCGCCGCCGCCGCCCTCGCCGCCGCCCTCGCCTCCGCCGCCCTCGCGTCGCCGTCGCCGCCGCCCTCGCCGCCGCTCGTCTGCCCGTGCCTCACCGCCTACCCGGCCGGCGTCAGCCTCGTGAGCGCCGAGGTGCATGTCGTCGCGGCGGACGGCGTGAGCCTCGCGTACCCCGGCACGTACTGCCTCCACGAGTGCGACCCGCACGACAGCAGGCTCGAGCCGTCCTGCGACTCGACCTGCTACCTCGGCTGGTGCGAGCACGAGTGGTGCTACGTCGACCCGGCCGCGTGCAACACCGAGTACAGCACGACCGCGTACGTGGTGGGCCCCCCCCCCCCTACTTGGCCGTGCGTGCGGTTTCACAACGATTTCAAACCTGGTTCTACCACTGCCGATGCGTCTTCTTCGCCGCCGTGGCCTCCCTTGCGGAGTCCTTGCCTCCGCCCCCTTGATGCCGGTCCCTGCGCCCTTTTCGCCGTTTGGTTGCCCGGGCCCTCCCCCC